GGTCTGAGTCACCCCGTGAACTCACCAGTCTTCTGTATTCAGCAGAGGGAGGTCATGAACTTGCCCAAGAGAGATGGCCCTTTGAGAAACACTGGAGATTGCTAGCTGGGCTCTAGCAAAGTAACAGCCTGGTTGTGGCCAGTGGATAATTTTCGATTCCGACTGTTCCCATCCCTCACCTGTGATGCAAAGCAAGGGGACACAACATGTATGGCATTACTTTTAATTTGTACTTTTAACTTGAAAAATACTGATACCATCTTTCTCAGGCTTAAGGAAACTTATAATGGGAAGAAATCTCACAGAAGCTAGAGTATATTATATGAAAGCTTAATAATACAGAGTCAGAATACTTGGAATACGATGGTGTTATGTGATGCAGATACCTTTGGCCAGCACCTTCCCCAAACCCTGCTGCTTTGCGAAAGCACTCAATTAGTTGGAAAATCACCTGGTGATGTCTGCTTTTTATACATCCAAAACAAAAATGAGAGAAATTCTAGACAACGTTGCTGATGGTGCACTAAGCCAGCACTAACCTGCTCCAGGAAACAGTGCATTGGAGCTAAAGATTTTTTTTCCCTCTTTATAAAGTTGATAAAATAGTCTCTTTATTTGGCTCTGTTAGCAGTCCAAAATTTGCTTTGGGAGGGAAAGAAGTTAAAAAAACAAAACAAAACAAAACAAAAAAAAAACAAAAAACAATGAAGAGTCCTGTCTTTCAAGCCTGCCCTAGGGCCCTATGGTAATTAAGTAGTTCTAAGGAGCTGTGTGGGTTAGGCTTCCTATTATGTGAGAAACTTGGATCTGTCAGAGATAGCTTGATAGTGATATCCTAAACTTCATTTCCGAGTCTTGCCTGATAAAAATTTAGAAAGTGTTGCCCACAGTCTGGTGTTAACAAACAGTTCTCTGTCATTAAAGCTGGCCTGAGCATCATCTGTTTTAGGAAGTGGGCTGGTTAAGGATCCTGCTTCTTTTCGGGCCGGGAGAAAATAAACTGAAAGCATGGTCACAAGAAATGTGAGCCTTATGATGGCACAGTTCTGATTTACAACAGCAGTGGGCCAGCCAACTTTGTAAATACCAGTGAGAGAAGAGACGGCTGATTTTTAGCAAAAGTTTAAGAAAAAGCAAAGCTTCAAACCTACTACTCTGCCAGAAGTTTTACAGATGGTAATTAATATAATCTTTATGCCTGCATATGTTGGATGATTTTCAGTAAGTATATTGGTACATCCTCATGAACCCTATTCTTTGTTTACAGGAGTGGCAAGCCACCGTGTCACCCAATTTGGATCCTGGCTTCCCTCAAAAGACTCTTATGGCTATTGCTTGATTACCTTCTGGAGTAGCCAACTACATATAGATATATAGATAAAAGACTATTGGTTTTGGCCCGATTTTTTGCAGCCACCTTTATATATATGGATTTTCCTTACCAAGGATGATGACTTTAAGTGTTAGTAAAAGTATTTTTACAGCTCTCCTAACTTTTCTTCTCTGTAACATTTCATTTCTCAAAATTATTAATTTTGACAGGATTTTAAGCTAAACAATTCAGCATGGACCTTGTCCTTTCTTTTCTTTCTAATGAGACTAGCAATGAGACTGAATGTAATTAATGGTCTGTGATAGTTGAATTTTCACAATCTGGTAAAAATCTCCCCATCCCCATAATCCAACCAGATGTTGCTCTAGGGCTCAGTTCGGTTTTAGGAAATGCTTCTATTTTCAACGTAATGATGAAATGTTTGAGGTAAAGGTTTATTCTTATGATAATTCATCTTTTAAAAAAAAAAATTTTTTTTAAGGTTTATTTTGGGGAGAGTGTGAGAGGGGGAGGAGCAGAGAGAGGAGGGGGGAAGACACAGAATCTGAAGCAGGCTCCAGGCTCTGAGCTGTCAGCACAGACAGGGTCTTGAACCCATGAACGTGGGATCATGACCTGCACCGAAGTCAGATGCTTAACGGACTGAGCCCGGGGTTCACATGCCCCAAATATTCACCTTTTTTATTCAAAACAGAAGAACAAAAGAAAAATGTTACAATACAATTTTGTGGCTGTTAATCCATCTCCTTGGCCTCCAGTTTGTTGTTACTAATGATGACAAATAACATCATTACAGTTTTAATTCAAATTACATTCCTGTATTCTGTCATTGTAAACTGTTGAAATTGTATCCAAAACAGTAGATATTGTAAATAAACTAGACAGTGTATGTCCAGTATAGTCTTTTGAGACTATTAAGTTGATATGACACATTAAAAAGTAAACATTGCCTAAATGAATTACGGAACTAAAAGATACATACATAAACTGCCTATTTGTTAAATCATTTCTACACATGCATACAATAAAGTGTTTTTGCAAAGATCCGTATACCTATCCTTGACATGCATGATAAAAATGCTCGTCTAATACTCTAAAAATAGAAGCTACTGCTTTTCAACAGTGTCTGAACTCTTGACAAGATGCAGATAAAATTCTTTAAGTAAATGAATTGTAGTTACAGATCAAATGTACCTCCCAAAGCAGTCCTGCAATCAAAGATAGGTATATCATAACTAACTTATTAATTGCTATCCTTTATCATTATGATGAACACATTCCACAATTTTAGACTTGCTTAAATGGTTCTTTTGGTTTAAATGGTTTCTTATGGTTCTTTTCATTTTGGGTCTTTAAATATATGCATTCAATTGTTTTTAAAGATTTTGTTTTTAGGGGCGCCTGCGTGGCTCAGTTGGTTGGGCACCTGACTTCGGCTCAGGTTATGATCTCACAGATCGTGAGTTCGAGCCCCACATCGGGCTCTGTGCTGACAGCTCAGAGCCTGGAGCCTACTTCGCATTCTGTGCCTCCCCCTCTCTCTACCGCTACCCTGCTCACGCTCTGTGTCTCTTTGTCTCTCAATAATAAATAAATGTTAAAAAAAAAAAAAAAAGATTTTGTTTTTAAGTAATTTCTTTACCTGGGATTCAGACCCACAACCTCAAGATCAAAAGTCACATGCTCCACCAACTGAGCCAGCCAGGTGCCCCTCAGTTTTAAAATTAGGCAAAGAATTATTCATTTTACACTAATATCACAGAGTATATACCTTAAGAGTGTTATATTTCAGTGGGTTAA